GGATAGTAGGTTAAGCCAAGCAAATTGACCCTTTATGCCTTTAAACCAACTGTGCCTTCAGAACTGCTAGTTTACAGGACTGATACAGGCCAATTTAGTCTTTGCACCAGTGCTTAGTGGTTTCTGGGTAAAACTCCCCCTACTAAAAATGAAAATTTTACAAGCCTTAATTGGTCCTCTTACTGATTTGTAAAGTTGGTTCTAAACTGTAGGCACAATTTATGGTACACAATCAACAAGACTGAAACTTCAGCGAGCTTGATCCATGAGTAACCTTATCAGAACCCCAGATACTATTTTTAATAAGGATCCACCAGTATTTTCAGATAGAGAGTTGTTATCTTCACAATTTGTACCCTTTTGTTTCACCTGAAGCACCACACCTTGCCTGCTTGTCTCCCACAATCTCAACTCTTTTCCCAGATACAGCCAGCATGCCCAATCTCCCAGATGGCCATCTTTTGTCTCTTCTCTAAATATACACTTGGGAGGTTATTTATTAAAACGGCATGGTGCAAATTCTGGTGCAGCTGCATAGAAACCAATAAGCTTCCAGGCTTTAATGTCAAAGCTTATTTGAACAAGCTGAACTTAGAAGCTGATTGGCTACCATGTACACCTGCACCAGATTTAGTAAATCTCCCCCGTAGTGCTCTTCTGTATTCCAGGCCAATCACTGACTTCACCACAGGGGATCAACCCAAACAATCACCACTAACAGTTACGTGCACACCAGGGGGACCGGAAACCACAGTAAGAGCCTATAAAGGGGGCTTGCTACCCATTAGACTTCCTGAACTGATAGTCAGTAGAAAAGATATTCACAGGATTTATATAAATTAACGATTAATTTAAATGATCCCTTTTCTTTCTGTATGTGGATGATGGCAGTGTAATTATTTTAATTGATTTAAAAAAAAAAAATCTAAGTACCTTTTTCCTAATCAATATACAACTGTCACATGACCCAGATCATTCCCAGCCTGTCTGCAGGGATACATAAGCAGGAGGAGCTTTTAGTCCTCTGCTACTGGTCAAAATAAAAAAACAGACTTTGGTATACAGAGTATAAATAATTAATATCAATAATCTGTTTTAAATTGTCATAAAAAATATATATCTGAAATCAAATCTTTATTATTTTTTGACAATAACATGGTCAAAAGCCTGTGTATTAGAATAACAGGTAGGTGGAGCCTCCATCAATCTGCATGTAAAATCCCATTCCCATTGTGTTTAGCTAGTTAGTAGGCATGAAGGAGCAAGGGGGGAGTGGGCTGTCATTTACCAGCTTGAATACATCCACATGTGTGACTCTGTAGTCACATAGGCAGCTCTGATGTGATAGGGAGGACATGTTCAGGGTAGAAATAGACTGAAAACTGAGCATGTGCAGTAGTTGCCAACACTGCTCTGCAAAATCCTCCTCTACAGTGGGGACATGGTCAGAAGGGGGAGATACACAGCAGGATCAACCAGATTTTTTGCAGAATACAGAAAATGGAGCCCCTAGTGTCTGAGTGAGTATGGACAGCATGTAATACATTTATTGATAGTTTTTAATGATGTGAGTTTAATGACACTTTAACTTCAGCAAAGTTCAGATGCTGCACTGAAAGTTCCACTGATGCCCTGTTCATGCTAGTGTGATTTCTCCTGTGTCTGTCATTGTTCTGCAATGCACAACAGTGGTAATCACATTGTTCTCTATTATGCCCATTAAGATCAATGCAACATGGTGTAGTACAATTTTTTTTAAAGGTGCAAGTGCATAGTGTGTTTTTGGCCCCAGAGATTTCATTGGAAGCACATGAAAAAATGTATGGTGAATTTCTGCCAAGGTTTTGTGTCTTACAACCAATCGCCTCTTACAAAAGAAAAGCATGAAGCATCAAAGATATGTGTAAATGCACCAAAAAAAAAAAAAACCACCGAAAAATGCATGATTATACAGTAGCACTAGCGTCAGCCTAGGCAATAGGTAGGAAGTATGTGTGTAGGAATCTCCCACAAAGTTCAGTTGCCCAGGGCTGAATGGTACCTGTGTAAGCTGCATTGACAATAGGCCTGCTATTACAACTGCAGTTCCTACTGTTAATCTGCATTTACAGAAGCATAAACTATTTCCATACATCATTCATCTTCTGCCAATATATTTATTGGATAGAATCCTAAAACAAAGTATATTGTGCGTCCAATATACAAGACCTCTGCCAAGAAATAGGAAAATGTATTATATTTTTAGGGCAGACCTCCAAATCCACTGCCAAAAAAATCTGGAATTGCTGGCAAGTGTTTTGTACTTTTGAAGCTGCGCCTGTTTTTCTCATGCCTTGAGTAAATTGCAAGTACTTATACACAACAAAAAGAATTGAAAAAGTTTACAGCTGTACCCAAGTTTTGCAGCTCTCACTTTAGAAATCTATAGTTAACACTGGGTCTCTGAAAAAAACAAAGCCTGAAAGTGTCTAAAAGAAGAATTGCTACAATTACCCCCAGCAACCAACTTCTCTATTTTATTTTCTATGTTACAGGTAGAATACTGAACAGTAGGAAGTTGATTAGTCACAATAGGAACGTGACAAGGACAATGGCTAGTTTCTGTACCAGTATATTTTATTATGCCCTGAGCCTACGATGGCTAAATACCTGGGGCTGCTCCCAGGTTCAATATGTTAAAGTGTTACTAAACCCACAACAGTAAAATCAGTCCGTATATGCAGTAAAGCATGCTTGTTATACTCACTGTGGAACCTAAGGGGTTAATCCTCTGCATTGTGTAAAAAGCCCATTTAATCCTGTTTTCTCTGCCCCTCCTCTTGTTCAAATGTTCACCATTTCAGACTGAATCCGTAGCCACATGCACATGCTCAGTTTGGTGCATATTGCTAGAGAGGTTTATTTTTTTGTTTTTGGGAGAATGCATGTGATCAGCACAGGGCAAATCAGTACTGCCCAAACAGAGATCAGGGGTACTGCATCCTCCTAGAGCAGAAATAAAACTCATCCTACAAGCTTTAGCCAGTGCTCTGTTGAAGTCACAAGACTGCTCTAACTGCTGATGAGAAAAGGTATTTAGCAGTTTGTATTTACTAAAATAATTGCATTTCCATGTTGTGTGTGCTGTGGGAGACCAGACATAATGAATGTAGGGTCCTGGGTTTAGTAACACTTTAATACAGTCATTTGCTATTTGCTAAACATTTTGTTACCTGGAAGTTGTGGAAGTTGCACCTATTTTTTCAATTTTTTATTTATGATCATTGAAAGAACACATACAAGAGAAAGATTCTCCAGACATCTGTAGATATTATTCAGCATACAATGTGATATATCCAGTGCATCCTAACTGACACAGCTGGAAAGGTTACACTTATTTGTTTAACCATTTCAATACCGGGCAATTTTTACACCTTCCTGCCCAGGCCATTTTTCAGGTTTCAGCACTCTCACACTTTGAATGACAATTGCGCGGTCATACAACACTGTACCCAAACTAAAATTTTATCATTTTCTTCACACAACTAGAGCTTTCTTTTGGTGGTATTTAATCACCGCTGGGGTTTTTATTTTTTGCTAAAATTAACAAAAAAAGACCAAAAATTTTGAAAAAAAAAAAAACACATTTTTCTTTGTTTCTGTTATAAAAGTTTACAAATAAATAATTGTTCTTCATAAATTTAGGCCGAGATGTATTCTGCTACATGTCTTTGGTGAAAATAACCCAAATTAGGATGTATTTTTTAGTTTGTAAGAAAGTTATAGAGTTCACAAACTATGGTACAGATCTGAAAATTGATCAATCCTGAAGTACTGACGGCCAATCTAATTTCTTGAGGTCCAAGAATGTCAGAATAGTACAGATATCCCCAAATGACCCCTTTTTGCAGAGTAGACAGTCCGACGTACTTCATAAGAGGAATGGCGAGTTTTTTGAAGTTGTATTTTTTTGTCATAATTTTTCAGAAAATGAAAAAATTAAAAAAATTGTTTTCACTATTTTTTTTTACATAGTGTCACCAGTGCAGTACAGCGTCATCATATAACTGGCATGGCGGTGAACAGGGACACTGACTGGTGACAGTATGAAAAAAATATATATATATATATTTTTTTTTTTAATTTTTTTAAATTTTTTTATTATATTTAATTTTTTATTACATTTTTTTTATTTTTTTTAAGATTTTACTATGACCAAAGTAGTACAATGTTACCATAGTAACATTGTACTACTTTGGGGAAGTGATCAGTATTTTTTTATTTATTTATTTTTTTTACACAATTTGCTTATAGCAAAGAATTACTTTGCTATAAGCAAGCATTTACCTGAATGAAATCGATTCATTCAGCTTTTTTTTTTTTTTTTCTTTTTTCTGTGCTTAGTTGTGATTTGGTCACAGCTAATCACATGACATGTGCATGTGATTAGCTGTGACCATTCACAGCTAGGCACTAGTATACAATGGATGGCATCATGAATGAAGCCATCCATTGTATACAACTGTCATGTGACCTGCTGTGATTGGTCACAGCAGGTCACATGGTACCAGCAACGGGAGCCGGTACTCGGATCTGTCATCGGCCGTGTCCGAGGTGCACGGCCGGTGACAGATCGCACTGCTGCGCCGCTCTGCATTAGCACAAACTGCGCATGTGTGGGGAGCACGCCAAATGGCGTGCACCCGGAGTGCAGAGACACTTTTGAAGCCGCCAAATGGCCATTGGCCGGGCGGCTAATGGTTAACCACTTGCCTACCGGGGACTTATACCCCCTTCTTTACCAGGCCAATTTTCAGCTTTCAGCGCTGTCACACTTTGAATGACAATTGCGCGGTCATGCAAGATTGTACCCGTATGAAATTTTTATCATTTTTTTCTCACAAACAGAGCTTTCTTTTGGTCTTTAATCGCCGCTGGGCACTTTACTTTTTGCGCTATAAACAAAAAAATGCAAAAAAATTGGAAAAAAAAAAGTTTCTTTGTTTCTATTATAACATTTTTCAAACAGGTAATTTTTCTCCTTCACTGATGTGCGTTGATGAGGCAGCACTGATGGGCACTAATAGGTGGCACTGATGGGCACTGATAGGCAGCACTGATGGGAACTGATAGGCAGCACTGATAGGCAGCACTAATGAGGTGGCACGGATAGGCGGCACTGTTAGGCAGCACTAATGAGGTGGCACGGATAGGCAGCATTGATAAGTGGCACTGATAGACAGCACTTATAGGTGGCACTGATAGGTGGCATTGACTGGCACAACTGCTGGGCACTGACTGGCACAACCACTGGGCACTGACTGGCAGCACTGCTGGGCTGCACTGATGGGCACATGTGGGTTGGCACAGGTGGGTGGCACTGCTGGGCACAGGCAGGTGGCACTTCTGAGCACAGGTGTGTGTCACTGCTGGGTGGCACAGGTGGGTGCACTGCTGGGCATAGGTGGACACACTGCTAGGCACAGTGGGTGCACTGCTGGGCACAGATGGGCACACTGCTAGGCACAGGTGGGTGGAACTGGTGGGTGGCACTGCTGGGCACCGATCATCAGGGCACTGATCATCAGTGCCTTGATGATCGGTGCCGATCCCTGCTCTGACAACTGCCGGTTCTTGGCAGTACTTTCCTCACGCTCTGGCAGCCCAGAACCGGCAATTGCATTTCCTGGTGATCATTGGACACGTCTGATCATGTGGTAAAAGGCCGCTGTGATTAGCCTTTTACCACATCATGTGATCAGCTGTGTCCGTAGGACACAGTAATCACATAGATCACCGTGTGCGCGCCCCAGGGGCGTGCAGGAGAGCGAGTTCTGGGAGGACGTCATATGATGCCCTCCCAGAACTGGCCACCCGCAGTGTAGCCGTCATTCAGCTATCTGCGGTCAGCAGGTGGTTAACGAGGTACATCAAGCTGTCTGGTTTATGGTACTTAGTGACACAATGCAAAAGTAGTCCATGTGGCCAAAAATGTAGCCTTACAAATACACTTACCAACAGCATGAAGTAACCAATCAGCACTTAACTTCGGGAACTAGGGCTCATTCACACCAGCATATGTGTCTAAGGGTGTATATAATGCATACTCGCTGGTTTGAATTGTATGCATGTGCTGCAATGCCTTAACACCACACTGCAGATATACAAATTTAGGTTGTAGATACAGGAGTATCCTCACATATCAGGAAGGACATTCCTAATTTTAGGAGGAATATCAGACAGTAGGTACAGTTTTCAGAGTAACATTTATGCAAAATTAATATTTCAAAATTTTCCCTATGATATCGAAAATCTTCATTTATGAGTTCAGTTCCCCTTTAAGACCCAGTGGATCATGAGCTGGCAGTTATTGTATGTTCCAGCAATTCAACAGATGGACCAAGCAGTCATTCACACGCAGAAGGCTTAATACACAGAGCTACAACAAATGTTATTTGCCATAATGATCATTATTTAAAGCCATGTGATTGATATTTTTTTAAACTCTCATTGCTAAAAATAACAGTCTTGATGGCAATTAACAATCTAGTGTCAGTAAATGCACATTCGAATTTAAAAATACACAGTATTGAGTGTCTGTGTTTTCTGTTTACCTGTAAAAGTTTAATATCAATCATGTTCTTTTCTAAAGTGAATAAACTCTAGTTTCCTTACAGTTTTTCTTTTTAAATCCATATTGTTTAATGCAAAATAATCGGTTAATGTTAATATTTTAACCAGTTCGATACTGGGCACTTTTACCCCCTTCCTGCCCAGGCCATTTTTCAGGTTTCAGTGCTCTCACACTTTGAATGACAATTGAGCGATCATACAACACTGTACCCAAACTAAAATTTTATAATTTTCTTCACACAACTAGAGCTTTCTTTTGGTGGTATTTAATCACCGCTGGGGATTAAATTTTTTGCTAAATTAACAAAAAAATACCGAAAATTAAAAAAAAAAAAAATTTTTCTTTGTTTCTGTTATAAAAGTTTGCAAATAAATAATTGTTCTTCATAAATTTAGGCCAAGATGTATTCTGCTACATGTCTTTGGTGAAAATAACCCAAATTAGGATGTATTATTTAGTTTGTAGGAAAGTTATAGAGTTCACAAACTATGGTATATATCTGAATATTGATCAATTCTGAAGTACTGACAGCCAATCTAATTTTTTGAGGTCCAAGAATGTCAGAACAGTACAGATATCCCCCAAATGACCCCTTTTTGCAGAGTAGACAGTCCGACGTACTTCATAAGAGGCATGGCGAGTTTTTTGAAGTTGTATTTTTTTGTCATAATTTTTCGGAAAATTAAAAAATTAAAAAAACTATTTTCACTATTTTTTTTTTACATACTGTCACCAGTGCAGTACAGCGTCATCATATAACTGGCATGGTGGTGATCAGGGACACTGACTGGTGACAGTATGAAAAAAAAAAATATATATTTTTTTTTTATTATTATTATTGTTAATTTTTTATTACTTTTTTTCTTTTTTTTAAAGATTTGTTTTTCATATTTCACTATGACCAAAGTAGTATAATGTTACTATAGTAACATTGTACTACTATGGGGAAGTGATCAGTATTTTTTTTTTTTTTTTTACACAATTTGCTTATAGCAAGGAATTACTTTGCTATAAGCAAGCATTTACCTGAATGCAGGGGATTCACTCAGGGTTTTTTTTTTTTTTTTTTTTGTGCGTAGCTGTGATTTGGCCACGGCTAATCACATGACACGTGCATGTGATCGCTGTGACCATTCACAACTAGACACTAGTATACAATGGATGGCATGAATGAAACCATCCATTGTATGCAACTGTCATGTGACCTGCTGTGATTGGTCACAGCAGGTCACATGGTACTGGCAATGGGGCCGGTACACAGATCTGTCTTCGACCGTGTCCGAGGTACACGGCCGGTGACAGATCGCGCCCCTGCACAGCTCTGCAGGCACGCAAACTGCGCATGCCTGGGAGAACGCCATATGGCATCCACCCGGAACGCTGAAGGATTTTGCCGGCCACCAAATGGCCATTGGCCGGGCAACTAATGGTTAAAAACATCTCTGTGTATAGCTAGTACATATATGTACATGTGGGACAGCCATGTTTGCTTATAACATAGGCAGCCATGCTTGCATATTGACTTGATGAGACTTTTGTTTTTCTTTGTGTATGGCCACCCTAGATATCCTTACCACACTCTAATCAAGGTAAGGGTCTGCTTTGTATCTTAGGTTAGGTTCACTCTTGTGCTGGTGGTTGCCACTGTGGGACTGCACTACCCATAGGGAAAAATGCGCTGTTGCTCAGGAGATGCAAGGCGGTTTTCCATGCACTGGGAACTGTACTGCACTATGCGGTTTCCCTGTGACTGCATTTTTTAAAAAGGTGCATGGACCTTTTCCCTACATCTTCAGTGTACACAGCAACCCATTCAAATGCATGTGCAATGCAGCTGTGGGGAAACTGCATATATTTGAACCAGGGGCTAGGGGGGCCCACATACCATTTGTTTACAAACAAAATTAGGCTGCTGAACCTGTTTTTTTTTTCATTGTAAATGTCAATTTTGCTGTAGTAGAATGTATATATTGTACAAATGCACCACTTCACAAGCATGTTATTTAAAGGGATTTACATTTTTAATGTTGCCCTTTAACCCCTTTATGCCTAAGGGTAAAACAAATCTAAATGCCTAAGCACAATTCTGCACCGTTGACATGTGATAGTAAAACCGTATCATCACAACTACTTTGTACATCCAGGTGGATTATACCTTGATTTTTTCAGGACAAATTGGGCTTTCATTTGGTGATGGATAGCTCTTATTTTGTTTTCATTATCAAAGGAAAACTGGCCCAAAATAGTAAATAAAATCTTTTTTTTTTATTTAGCTGTGTGTTTATTGTTACAACCATAACCTTTTTTTTTCTCTCTATGCCAGGAGTTAGAGAGATACAATGTATCTCTCTTCTCCATTCATAGAGAGAAAAAAAAACAAGGGGGCCGGGCTGCACGGTGACTGATCACTGTGATAGCCAGTCAGAGGCTATCACAGCGATCGCGTGACCCGGAATCGGGAGTCCCGGGTCCCGATCGTTAGAACGGGACCCGGGTTCTCAGTGACACCACGGTCTCGGTGCTGGGAACGCGCTGAGCAGTGCGCTCCCAGCACAAACACAGGTATGCAAATATGTGGCCCCACAGAAAAAAGCCCAGTTCCATGAGGCCTCATATTTGTGTGCCGTCGGCGTAAAGGGGTTAAAATTGTTGCTTCCCAGCAAACAGAATTTATATTAAAAAAAATATTTGCTGTCCAGCAATGTCCAGCCCCTCATACCACTTGTTTAACAATCCCTTACCTATTAATCTATAAAATGGGAATATTGATGTCTAAGATTCAGCTCCCATTGATTTCAGTAATGTTGGCTGAACCAGACCCAAGCACCGTTGTCTCATCCCTAATGATGATTACTAGAAACAGCATTTATGAATCCCTGACAATCCCTGAAATTCATAAAGAGTGTTGTAGACATTCATATGAAAGCTGTCTTCTTTATATGCAGCGAAAGGTGCAACTTGCAATAGATTATATTACTTATTGGAAATTTGTATAAATATCTGTTGCAGAATTGCCTCAGACAGCATTTTGTCCTGGACAGAATTTGGTCTGCGACACAATACCTACATGTGTGACACAATTTACTCCAACATGGAAGAGGCCTTACTTACCTCCCCATTTTTATCACCCCTATGACTGTATTTATTAAAAGAAAAGTATGGACTTTTTAAAAAACATTCATACTCACCTAGGTGGGTGCAGCATTGATCCAAAGCTGCATCTGTCCCTCGCTGGCTCTGCAATGAGAACTGAGTCATCAAAGACCACTGATAGCTCAGTTCTCCTCTCCGCTCTATGGTCAGGATCTTTTCAGATGCAATAGGAAGAAGAAGGGTCAGCTGCACATCGGAGGATAGATGAATATAGTGTGTATTTATTGATCCATAGGACACACAAAACACCAGGACATGAATACAGGACCTGTTAACACACATTTCACATGATCTTGTGCTTAATCATACCAAAGAAAACAACAAAAGTGCTGTGTTAATTAATAAAGAACACCTGTCCTAAACAGCAATCCTGAAACCTGAGGATAATCCTACTAATACATTGTAACAAAACATATAAAACAATTGTATCAAAAATAGTGATCTCAGAGAACAAGAAAGGAGGAAAAGAAAAAGGGAAGCAAGGTGGAATAAAAGGAAAAACAAACAAAGAAAAAAAGAATAATGGATACAAATAATTATGAAAAAATGATAAATGAAAAATAGAATAACATACACAAACACAGATAATAGCGAGTACATATCCCCAAGAAGATATGGGCTAAGAAACCACATTTGTAAATAATCAAAATTTAAATAAATAATATAATTTTAATAAATAATATATGCAAAAAACGCATACAAAAAAAAAAAACAAATCAAAAC